GCTTATTCACGTATGAGCTTAAAAATAAAGAGACAAATACAAGCAGACTAAAAAGCAGCTATAAGAGCACAACGTTACCTTTAAATGTTCTGAATACTTACAAATACGCACTTTACGCTAATGTAGCTACATGATCATAGGGATCACTGTGCAGTACTTTCTTTATGTAGTGAGGTGCTAAACTAAGGCTGTCAGCGTTAACCAGTTAATCACATTAATCTCATGTTTGTCCCTTCAGGCTCTCCGTAGATAGTGGTCCTCAGTGTCTCCCTGTAGTCTCACTGCTGCATCTTTGAATGTCTCATTTCACTTTAACAAACTCTCAGACAGTAATATCCACCTGATGACATCACACATTGACCTGATGACATCACACATTGACCTGATGACATCACACATTGACCTTATGACATCACACATTGACCTTATGACATCACACATTGACCTCATGACATCACACATTGACCTTATGACATCACACATTGACCTTATGACATCACACATTGACCTTTGTTACCGTTCCTTTGAGCTGTTTGACCTCACTTTGGCATCCCTAAGCACTTTCTGTTTCTGGGCTTAACTTCCTGTCCTAACCTTCCATCTACAGGAAGGGCCTTACTTTATTTCAAAATAAAAGCGATGGTTGGAGAGAGTGATGCTGCATTCAGGTGCTCCTCGGATGGAGCGACTTCCCAACTTGGAAACTGGGACCATTGGAGGAGCAGCACCTGAATGCAGCAGCAGTCAGGTCGAGGAGAGTCAGGAAAGGAGAGGGAAGAAGGAAGTACAAAAATTCAAAATAAAAGCCTAACAGGTTTTATTCTTTAAATGGGAAATTATGTAATTTCAAACATGCGATTAATCGTGATTAAAAATATTAATCGTTTGACAGCCCTGAAGTAAATATACAGAGTAAAAAGATGTACTATAACGTTACTAAAAGAGATGTAAAGAGTAGTTTCTGAAAAAGTGAAGGCGCCATGACGGTTCATGTCTCTCTTAGTAAAACACGTAGACTTACAAACTGTGACTCTTTCTCTGTCAGGGCTTTTTATCATCTTCACAGGCGTGATATTTTATCTGATTATAACCCAGTATCAAATGGATGTGTTGACTCAGTGAATCCCGAGTCAATTGTTACTATGAAGGTAACAGCAGACTAGCAACTGCCCTGTCGTGGTTATCGCGGAGTCTGGAGGCTTCGAAGAGAGCGATGTAACACCTGTTTCTGGTTTAAAAAACGTATTCAGGTAAATTTATCTTACACAAATATCGTGCTGAATTCAGGACTCGCTCTTTAAGGCATCAAAGTAACGCAAAGAGATATCTGTGGAGGCCGAGGTCGAGCAGCAACTCCTGCTCTGAACGGTTAAATGACCGTTTTTATAAATGGCATCTGGTGTGTTTGAGGAGAGTGATGATGTCACAGCTGTTTTGGTTTAAGACACCGTAACATGAATTTCGCCTTTGAGGAAATGGGAGTTGCTGGTCTACCGCTGCATCAAACTGTGATTGTGTGTTTTATGAGTAAGGTGTTAGATCTCAATGCAATAATCAAGACGTTATAGTCACACAAATATAAAAATCAAGGCCGAGGTAGAGCAGCAACTCCTGTGCTCAGTGAGGTTAAATCTGTGTTTTAACAAATGGAGTCTGGTGTGTGTGTGTAGAGAGGGATGTAACAGCTGTTTGTGGTTTAAAAAAAACCATCTTCCTCTGGAACAATCTGAGCCTGACAGGGACAAAAACATCAACTTTCAGAGGACGTACCTCGCAGCCTACTGGAGCAAATACAACTCTTTTTGAGCCTATTATGAATAAAATGAATCTGGGTATTTCATTCTTAATCATCCTTACTTTCAAAATTCTTATATTTAAGATTTTGGTAATATTGACTCTCCTTCTGTAAAGCAGTCAGTGTGATCTTGAACTCATCGTATCGTCAGTTTTAATTTGGAGAAAGATGTATGTTTTCTGCCCTTCATCAGCCTCAATATTTTAAACGACGTCTTCTCTTTGTAATGTCAAAAACTGTTCTTGAACGTCGTCGATTTCATGACCCTCCATGTTGAAGTTCCATGCAATACTTTGGTTGCAGTTCACACGTCTACCTCCAGAGGGAGGCATTTCCATAGAAAGTAATGGTGGTCAGTGTGCTGATGAGTTCTACCTTTGTGTTTTTTCCTCACACTGGAACATCAGCAATAAGTCTTTATGATATTTCAGAAATGTATTTTTGCAAATAAGTTCGTACAGGAGAGTTATTCTCCAAATTCAGACATAATTTATTTAATTATTTATTTATATTTGTATTTCTTGATGCAAGATGATGTATCACAACCTGTAAGGGTTCTGACATGAAAAGAAAACATAATTACAGGTACAAATAATGCAGCAAATTAAGACTGCAAAGGTATTCTCAGATTCCAGTTCTTTAACTGTTCATATTTTCATATTTTTGAATATCAGACATTAAGGAAACATGCTATGTTGAAGTGCTGGCTTCTCTGACAACAATGCAGCAGCCAGTATGTCCTCCTTCTAACTTTAGATTCTGCTCCTGAATGCTCTGGATTTGTTTGGACCAGAGAAGGTAGGCGGTTTTAAGACACCCCCCCAAACGGCCATTTTGGACGCCCCTCGGTTTGCCAGATATGAGAGCAGTTATCAGGTCAACAGGTGTTGCAGCGATGGAAGCGGGCAAGAGGAGACAACTCTCTACAATGTTTAGAATTTAGACTGCAGTACCCATTTTAAACACTAGGTGTAAGAGTTACATGGTGCTCCTTTAACACAATAATTGTGTTTGCAATATGTCTCTCATAAATCCAGAATAAATCAAACATCCAAACTGGCACCAATTAATCTGAGGGTAGCTGCTAGCTAGCATCTGACTGCTTCAACATGGTGTGAAAGCTCGGTCATTATACCATCAAAGTTAGATTTTAGCACTTCTGAAAACAAACCTCACGTAGCTATGATACTCCATAATAAGCACAAAGTTAAAAAAAAAACAATGATGGAAGTGTGGATCCTTTAAGCCTTACAGGGGACATACTATGAAAAACCCACTTTTACAGTGTTTCTGCTGCAGGTATATTTGGGTGACCCGAGTGTCTACCGACCCAGAAAATGTGAAATAAGCCGATCTAGTCCTCTGTTTCTGGTCCGCCTATGTCTTATGTTTGTTTTAAAGAATTGTGTTGTATTCAGTTCAAAAAGTACTTAGTATCTAGTTTGAGAGTAAATATTTTATTTAACATTCTGTATATACTTGATACTCTAACAAGCCAATAAATGTCTTAAACTGTAGCCTATTTTGTTGTTAGCTCACTAACTATATAGCCTATCCCCGAAACTACCCGTTCTCATAAGACACTGAGGGGTCTGAAACATTGCCATGGTTATAACAAGCTCCACCAATCAGAGAGGTCGCTTACAGACTCTATGATTGTGGGTAGTGTAGTTCTTTTTCCCGATATCGCAAATAAACCATGTGTTTCTTAGGCTGATATCACATGAACTTGTGTCTTCTTCAAGAGCATAAACCATCGTTTCACACTCAGGTGGTCGACGTGTGATGCTTATTATGACACTATAGAGTAATCAAATCCACTGTGTAGAAAATGAATGAATTACTTCCAGAACTACACTGTTAAGCCCTATAATGAGCGCAAGGTAAAGCATAAAGGGTCAAAAAGTTGGCTAAAGTTTTTGAAAAAGCTGGCTAAAAATAATAAATAAACAGCTATATTAGCTAGCTTAAAGCAAGTAAAACATTTGAAATAGCTAGCTAAAAGTTGAGTAAAATAGTGAAAACAGCTAGCTTAATCAAAAGAAAAACAGTCGCATTAACTAGCTAACATTAAATGAAAATTGAGGGGAGGGGCAATCTTACTTAAAGTTATTGAAAAAAACAATAGCTAGCTAAATTCAGGAAAATGAAAGCTAACTTAAAGTTAGTTGAAATAGTAAAAACAGTGAGTGAAAGGCAATAGCAAAACAGTCACAATAGCCAACTAGATTTAGAGAAATTGTAACAGCTGGCTAAAAGCTATCTTAGCTAACAGTAAAAATAGTCAACACAGTAGCTTAAAGTAAGTTGAAATAAAGCATTTCATAGATAATCAGTAGGCTAATCCAGAGTCCTTAACATTATAGTGACAGACACTATATAAAATTTGAATGATTAACTATAACTACACGATCATTAATGTCGTACATTAAGAAAAAGAGGAGTGGTTATTTTACTGTGAGCTCATTTGACATGGTGGTAGCTTCATGCTAAAGCTGCTGAGTTATTATTCTGAGTTTTATCGGATACTGTGAGTAACAAGGATTCAATCCAAGTTACTGGATGTTGATACAAGAACACAGCATGTTAGTGTATTTGTGACTCTCAGGTGTATCCTTTTCATTGTGTGGTGCTTAGAACAGAATAAAAAGCAATAATGTAAACTACATCTCAAGACCTCATTGTAAGTGTAAACTGTCTGTGAAGATAAAATGTACCTGTGCTGCTGAACGAGGCCTGAGCGTGATGCTGCAGCACTCTAAGACTGCTGTTGTGCTAACGTCTGTTGTATGCTAATCATTAAAAACTGAAATAAATATATGAGGTATGTTTACCATTCACGATTCACCATCGTTGTTTTTTCACTGATGTATCAAAAACTGGTAAAATCACATTTCTTGTGAGATTCAAAATGTTTTTAATTTGTGATGCAGTGACTATAAAGTTGGACATTTTAACATGGGGTTCTGTGGGGACTGACTCACTGCAGGAGACAGACTCTAGTGGACACTGAAGGAACTGCAGCTGTAAAGTTAGACATTTTAACATGGGGCTCTATGAGGACTGACTCACTACAGGAGACAGACTCTAGTGGACACTGGAGGAAGTGCAGTTATTGACAATACCATGTTAACATGGCTAATGGGGTAAAGAGTATTAACACTGACAGAAAGAGCAAACTGAGGCATCTCGGGACATAATCAGTTTATTTATAAAGTGTTACAAGTTTGATGAACTGAAGATCAGACTTTGGGTCCATTTTTGTAGGACGAGGTGGTTCAGACTCTCGGGGGTTATTGGGGGTGATAAGCTTTGTCCCATTCGTCTTTCACTTGTTGGATCCACTCGTTATAGTTGGACACCTTGGTGTAGATGCCCAGCTTGTCTATCTGGCCGCAGCCCTCGCCCCATGACACCAGGCCAATCAGGAACCATGTGTCCCGGTACAGAGTGACCATGGGTCCGCCACTGTCCCCCTCGCAGGCGTCTGTTTTCTGCCCTAGGTTCCCAGCGCAGAGCACGTTATTGGTGACGTTGTTGGTCATTTGACGGGCACAGATGTCGTGGTCCACCAGCGGGACTTTGATGACGTTCAGAGCCGAGCTGAAATGGATGCTATCCAGGCCGTCATTGCCCCAGCCGGTCACCACAGTGAGGGTGCCGTTGAGGTGCAGCACCCGCTCTGCCATGGCGCGTCCTGGCAGACAGACCGGGAGGATGTACTCTGAGAATTGAGCGGGCGTCTCCAGGCGCATCAGGGCGATGTCATTGTCCACCGTGTTGCTGTCGTAGTCTGGGTGTTTGAAGGTCTTGAGGACCCTCAGAGTGACCTCTGTGCCTTCATCTCTAAAACGCTCGTAGTCACCTGACAAGACACAACGCAGGATATCGTTAGCAAATGCGTTAGATACCAACTTTCCTGTTTACGGCAAGTTTGTTTACCCCTTGATAGGGGTGACGTCACACACTCGGAACTGCCCATCTGGTGGGCAAGAAAGTCTTCATACTGCTACACACTAAAATCAGGAAAGGACTCGCATGAAAAAGTGTGTCTTAAGAAGATGATTGATTCGGCCGACCTGATCTCCTCGGGCAGGTCGTTCCAGAGTCATGGAGCCCTCACGGAAAATGCTCTATCCCCTTTACTTTTTAATTTTGCATTTGAAACTACCAGGAGACCTCTGCCTGAGGACAACACAGGATGTAAACATATGATAAGAGTCACACGTGCCCAACAATCTCAGTTTATCTCTGTCTTTCTGAGGTTGTCAGGTGATGTAAACATGCGTTGTTTAGAAAAGACAGCGGCCAATGGTGGACGCTACTTTCCTAACTGTCTTTGCACCAGCCACGTCACGTAACTGGAAGCGAGGAACCATGCAGTTCAGATTCAATACAAGTTACACTTGTTGAGTATCATGACATGAGATGTAGGTCTACTAACGAGATTTAGATTCAATTTACTCGACACATAAACTTTCATTGCCCCCTTTTTGTGCTTTTTGTGTCTTGAAATGAGACGTTTGTCTGGACTTGTCACGTGATATTTAGATGAATACACTCGCTAACACCTGAGGTTCCGCAGTGTGCAGAGCGGACACTCACCCAGCCGGACTCTGAATTTGAAGTTGTTTTTCAGGCAGTGAGCGGCAGTCAAGACCCAGCTCTCATCGATCAGGACGCCTCCGCAGTGAAGTTTCCCTAAAGCGTTCAGTATCAGCACCTGCACACACAAACCCAGTCCTGTCAAACTTTTTATATATGTTACCATAGCATGTTGTGTTGTAGCTCGAGTTACCTGCCAGGGACTCTCCCCCTTCTTTCCGACCTCGCCTCCCACCATCCAGGGTAGAAGGCCGTCCATCGGTTTGGAGTATGACGACCTGGCGATCATGAGCCGACCGCAGGACGAGGGACCTGCCGGGAAACAGAGAGAGAGAGGTGGTGTTTGAACTATTCGACTCTTTAATTGAAAGAAAAGGAAACAATGCAATCAATATGGACAAATCTCCTTTGAAGGTCCAATCAGTAAGATGTGTAGTGAGTGAAATGATAAAGTGACCTTACTATATGGTCAGACATTAAGGAGACATGCTATGTTGAAGTGCTGGCTTCTCTGACAACAATGCAGCAGCCAGTACGCCGTTTTGGACACCAGATATGAGAGCAGTTATCAGGTCAAACCAAACCAGCGATGGAAGCGGTCAAGAGAAGTGGTTCAGATAGAAGTGATTGTACCCGACCTAAAAAGCCTCTGCATGTTTCTAATAAGCTCTACGAGCAGAAACGTGCTCAAACTAGGATCAATATTGGAGATGCTTTTGAAAAATGGAGAGAGGTTAGAACACAGAAAGGTTTACAGACCCATGCAGAGCTGGCTAAACACTGAAGCTTCAGTGTCCACCTCATGGCAACCTGCGTGAGCATCCACTCTAGAGATCCAATTTTTTGAATTTAGACTGCAGTACCCATTTCAAACACTAGGTGTCAGAGTTACTGCTTCTTAGCTATAGTTGTGTACAAAGATCAAACGTTATAAATGGATGATTTGTTAATTTGTCCATGTCATAAACAAAAGTCTTATATATTCTCACCTTTCGGCACACATTTCTTGGAGTTGGCGTGCAGATCGTATGTGCTCACACAGCTGCAGCTCCTCGACAGGCCATCCTCGCTCTCCAAGCAACCGTGGTCACAGCCGCCGTTGTCCACGGAGCAGTTAGTCGCTGTGACAGCTGAACCACAACAGGAGAAGATATTTACTCAGTCTGCACGTTTCAGATCATTTAACGCTCCAGATGTCACTACCTGGAGCTCACATCAGCAGAGCCCGTCTGATGGTAACCTGCGTGAGCATCAACTCTAGAGAGGAGTTGGCGGGGGGGGGAGGAGACAGATCTCTATAATCTTTTAAATTTCTGACTGCAGTACCCGTTTTAAACACTAGGTGTCAGAGTTCCATATCGCTCCTTTAATTTCTTTGATTTGACAAAACAAGACATTTGAAGTCACCAGCAGAGTCATTTTTTCGTCAATAAATTAGACAATAACCTTTAGATGTTTCTGTAAATAAATAGCTTGACATCGACTGATGGGATTGGTCCTTCATTCTTAGAAAAAAATGTATTCCATTTTGAATCTTGAAGACAAGAAACCTTGGTGTCCTCTCTCTTAACTTTAAAATCTCCCTTAAAAAAATGTGGCTCTTTCTTTGGTTCTACTCTGTAAGTGTACCATGTTTCTTCAGGTATCTGTGAAGTTAAGCGTCCTCGTCAGACTCACGTTGGTCGCAGTATTTCCCCTCATATCCAGGGTTACAGAGGCAGGCGTAGTCTTGGTACATATCCACACAGGCTCCATGGACACACATGTTGGACTGACACTGGTTCCCATCTGAAACAAGGCGAGGTCAACAACAGTCCATAAAACCAGGTGAGTAGAGACTGACTTCAGACTACATGATGAGGATTAAACAGCTTCATACCTGAGTACACTGTCCAGAACTCCAGCTGTAATCACACACAAAAAGAAAGATCGTTAAAACTGGTCAGCAGGCTTAAAGAGGACTTATGATCCCCCTCCTCCACCTTTTCAAACAGTCCCCTGTGGTCTAAATGAAACATCTGTGCTGTGCTTTGGTCAAAATATAACATGAATCAAGCACCAGAGGAGGTTTGTGACCCTGTATAAACCAGCTCTCTCAGAACGCTCTGTTTTGGTGTGTGTGTCTCTTTAAATGCAATGAGCCCCCCCTCCTGAGTTTTCCCCATTGACATCACTCCTCTGTAGAGAGAATAAAAATGGTGGACATGTGAAAAGTCCATGGGTGGAGATATCAGGGGAGGGGAGGGGATTTTTTTTTTTTTTACCAGAATCCCACTGTGACATCACAAGGAGAGCACATTTGAAACAGAGCATTTTTCTCTGTGTTGTAAGACTTGTGCCAGACCACAAACAAAGGACTGGATGGGTTTGTTTCACATGTTGTGGGTCAGGAGACTCTCAGGTTACCCAAATATATGTTCAACAACACTGAATAAGTGGATTTTTCATAATATGTCCCCTTTAACCTCCAGGATCAGATGTCACAATGGACAGTTGCACAGCAGCGGTTAAATCCTCGCCCTATATCAGAGCTTAGCTGTGATTGGCTGGTTGAGTGCAATCCGATCAAAGTGTCAGTAAAATCCCTTATCCCTCAGCTGCTGTATCTTTAAGGCCCCACACGCCCACTTTCTTCTGATTGGTCAGCTGTCTGGATGCTGTCCAGGGTGGCAGAACGCTGCAGGGCTGCCAGGGGAGGGCTGCTCTCCAGTGCTGGGAGAAGAGAGTCTATGTGAGAGGTTTCAGGTTCAACAAGCCGTGTAGCGCCCTCTGCAGACTCATCCTGGGATTACTCCAACATACGTTTACCTCATGATCTGAATCTTTGCCCACGTTTAGTTTGAGCTTCCAGCTTTGTAACACTACATGAGAGTTCTCAAACGGGGATCAGAAGAAAAGGTCGACTTTAAGATAAAGGTCTCTCTCTGTAGGGATCCTTTATGTAATGAGGGCTCGAGTAGCATACAGGTAGCTAGCAGGGCTACAAACTCCACCTGGTGGACACAGATGGTACTAAAAGAGCGACACAGCTGCACACTAACTGATCCCCACGATGGACATCATCACACAGGAAGACACTTTAAACTTTTGGGATTCTTTAGAAATTAAAAGTAATCATGAACGGTATCAGAAAAGTTTGAATAAAATGATTTGATGTAAAGGAGAAACTTGTAGCCCAATTAGCTCAAACACAAACTCAACAAAACGAGCAAAGCACAAGATCAGCGATAGGGAACACTCTCACTGTGGCTTCTCTGGTTTGGAAGATCTCTCGGGCTTCTTCAAAGTCACAGATTTCCTCGATGCATTCTCGCTCCTGTGAAGCCGGCTTCAGCTCTTCCAGGAACGTGTTCGCCCGGCGAGTGCGGAGCAGCATGTGAGCCTCCGGAGGGTCTGAGAACACTGAGCAAACACATAGGACCAACAGGGTTTCATTATTTATCTTAAAGAGCATTAAGGCTCCTGCAGAGTGTTTCTTAATTATGAACACAGACAGCAGGAGATAATACGATGTATGTGGAATTAAAACGTATAAAACCCGTCATAAACACATCAACACACACATACGGTAAATGTTTTATTCTGAAAATAAACTGCATGTTTTAATGTTGATTTGGTGTCTGACTTCCTGTCCCGCTCGATCTGCTCTGTTGTAAAGTGATGCTCTGTGATCGGACAAATAGAAGTCTTGTTTATCACCTCCGCTTCTGTAACGAGGTGGAGACGTACCCAACATGCATCTGGTGGAATTTAGGCTTTAGGCTTTTAGAGCTGGCTTCAAGTGGACACTGGAGGAACTGCAGTTATTTGCACCCCAACTTAGGTTTCATTTATCAAAAGTGGAGCTGCAACTTTGTGAAATAAAAGGATCAAGGTTTTAAAACATGTAGACTGCCCCTTTCAGTTTGGGTAAAATAATAAATATCCCTGCATCGTTAAAGGCTTTATATGCTTTATATTTTTCACTTTTAAATATAATAGAAATCAAGTATGTCCTCTGAAAATAACTGTGAGTCATGACTGTCTACAATGGGTGTAACACCCGAGTCCCACTGTCTGTGATGTTTTCAGAGTTTTCAGAGTCCTATCTTCAGTTTGTTTACATCGCCTGGACGGCCGGCTGACTCCTCCCCTCGTGTATAAAAGTTGTTTAATTGAGGGAACAGAGAAAAGAAGAATAACATACTGTACTCACTGCTTAACTGTGTTTCTAGATCACGCTCATTTCAGGTAAATTTACATGCAGTGTGAAGATACCAGCATAATAAAGATCGCTAGCATTAGCATGCTAACACAACAATGCAGCGCAAGTTGTTTTGGTTTCATGCTGGTGCTCAAGGGCGACACCTGCTGGATCAAAAGATCACATATAAAGCCTTGAAGTTCACAGAGGCTTCAGTAAGAAGTAATTTAGACTCATTTGTGCAGAGAGCGGAGACGGCCACACGTAACATCTCATTTTAAAATCACAGCTCTGCTCTACTGTTTTTAAAATACAGACTTAGAGGCGATATGTTTCTGCTGCTGGTCAAACAAAGCCACCGCTGAAGACCGCACTTTAAACTGAGCTTTTCAACAACAAACCAATGCATGACTCACCTGTCAGACTGAACACCGGCGCCGACCACAGAGCAACGATGACTGACAGGCACAGGAGGAGGCGGGACATGACCGTACTCAAACCTGCAGCAACCTTAATCAAGTCAGTGTTGATATTTACCCCCAAATACTCAACTTCATAACACGCACTTAAAACGACGGAGTCAACTTACCGACTTAAGAGCGGGGTGTAAAGATGATTTGTGGCAGCGCTGGAGAAGAGACAGAGAGACAAAATCACGACCAAATCATATTAAAGATCTGAAAATCTGCAGCTTCTGGGAAACATTTTGAGAGTATTGATCAGTTTCAGATGACAACACAGAGGCCTCCAAATGCACACACACACACACACACACACACACACACACACACACACCACCAGCGATCCCCATTTGAACCCCTGTGAATTTTGACCCCATGACCTGAACTTTAAGGCCAGCAGAATCTGAAGCAAAGTCGAGATCACGTCCCATAACAGCGTAGACATCACAACACCTAGAGGTAAAGGTACGAGTGGATTCCACGACACGAGAAGGATTTCTTTTTTTACTTACATGTGAAGAATCGAAGCCGCAGACGCAGACGGGTTCGCTGTGATTCTGCTGTGTTAATGACTAACCGCCGGTGTTTACTGAGAGTCCACAGTCTGCAGCTCCACACTGTCTGCCAACACTGTCAACACACACACACACACACTCCCCTTTGACCTCCACCCACTCACCTCTGAAGTGATCACAGCCCCCGTTTCTTAAAAGTCCAAGACTATCAAAATGACGCTCCCGAATCGGAGTTCACGGTGAACAGTCCTCACCCTAACGGCGACCTCAGAGACTCAGTGAGAAACAAGAAAGAGGCTCTTTAAACTCTACACACAGTTTGTGTAAAAAGATGGACGGCATGGCAAGCTCCTCGACAAGTGAGCTCCCCCCTGGTGATTAGTGGCTGCATAGGTCATAAGCTCCGCCTCCTCCATGTTAACAGATGGACCATGCGGCCTCAAACACTAACACAAGAGCAGAGAAATATTCCATAACTGCGAGTCTCTGCTTCAAACTGACACAATAATCTCTGCAGTATTCAGGACGTACCGCATAGACGGCATTGACAGAGACTTAAAGGTTATTTTAAAACAAACACTTAAGGCCCCGTGTCCAGTTTAGCATTTATGTCTTTTTTGAAGAGGAGAGAGCGTTTGCAGCTTCCAAGCGCTCCACCTTTTTTTGCAGAGCTAAAGTTGAAATTCTTTAAACTTTTCAGAAAGGCGCTGTTGACATCATCAACACTTTTTTCAAAATGTTTGATATTCCCCGTATTTTTGCAGCCTACATATCGTGTCTTGTACCCTCATCCTCCTCGCTCCGCGTCTGACTGGGAAATAAACGATCTCAAATTTAAAACATGCAGTAAAAAGTAACGCAGCGGTGTCTGTCAAACAGCGGCTGTTTTTCAACAGACAGTTATCATGGAGACAGGACGGACGTGCAGCGCTTTTCTTCTCAGCGCACAAACGCTTCATGCCAGAGCTGCCGAGCGCTCAGCCAGCACCTTTCAGCTCAGAAAAAATTCCAGGTGGACACGGGGCCTAAGGGGACTTTGATGCAGATGATGGTAAATATTCTTCAAAATAGAAGCCCTCTGGGTTTCTTGAAAAAGAAAAGGTAAAGGTACTCTGATACGGAGGTTAAAAGCTTCTTAAAAAATGGATGCTTTACTTCCTTGTTCCTTGTTTGAGCACGGTTGCGTTCACATCTCCCGCGGACCGTACTCGAGTACACATCCTTTGAAGAGCTGGTCTGGTACCTGAGTATGGTACGTTTGTGTTCACACTGAACAAATGAACCAGACTTTGGGGTCAGGTGTACTCTGATCCAGGACCGGGTCCCATAATGTATAACCACCCTAAGACGGTGTTCTTTGAAATAGGCACTTAAAGGCAGGGTTGGTCATCTTCTGAAACTAGCATGATTTTGAAAGTAGCATTCCCTCAGTGCCCCATCTGCACCCCCTCCCCTCTGTGCGCCCTCTAAAGCCACGCCCCCTCACTTACATACACGAGCGCCGTCTCTCCAGAAGTGGACCTCAGCTCATCTCTTACATTGTGTAGAAACTACGTCGTCTCATGTCTCATTCAGCGGTAAGTAAACTCACAGTGTAAACTCCGTTATCAGTGACGCGCTTAGAGAGCGTGCAGGGAGACGGGGAGGCGTCTGATTGGTTCATCAGATTGGTACCTCGTGGCAGACATTGGTTGAAGTTTTTACAGACTTACAAACTGATACAGATGATGGATTTTCTTTGTTTCTTTTTCAGAGAACATGAGTTATTAATGTCTGTCAGGACCTAAAGACAATTTACACCAAAATCTTAAAAAGTGGATCTGGAGGAAATGACCAACCCTGACTTTAAGGGTACGTTGAACAGACTGGAGTGCTCCATGAAATAGCCACCTGAGGGTATTTTGAGGGGGTCAGATACATCCAATCAGATGTTGAGTAATGAAACACTCTTCATCTGTACAAGTTGCAAAATGGCGGTTCTAATGAAAGCAGATATCGTAGTATCTTTGGCATGAAATCAGCACTTTGACTTTGAATAATGAGACTCCAAATGCTTCTCCGAATACAAAGAGCTGACATATTAGTATCCCAGTAGAAAATACAAAGAAGCAAGTAGAACCAGGAAGTGTACCTCTCATTGTTTAGCCTCCAAACACACTGAATGTTTACATATGTGTCAGACGCGTCATGCGACCCTCTGAAACCGTGACCTCACTCCCTCGGGGAACTCACATGTATGTTTGTTTGTTTTGTATTTCTGCAGTCTCTGTGAGCCTCGGCCGACCTCAGGTTGCCTCGTCGCCGCCCCTCTCTTCACAGTAGAGCTGTTCAAATGAGAATGTTTACAGGTACAGGTGTGAAGCCCGGGCCGGCCTCAAGGGTGTCGCTAAGGGGCCCGGGGGCGGTGGAAACCAGGACACTTATCAAGGTTAACTATTTATCTCTCTCGTCTTCCTTTGTTGCTCAGCCTTGTTCCCTCGGCTCGGTTTTCCTTTGTGTCCTCCACTGTTTTTATTTTCCTGAATCAAACCTGGCCTGTGGACATAAAGGAGCGGTCTCTGGTTCCAGGGGGCGACTCAGCGATGGTGTGACTAGCTGGCTTCTGGAAAATGTTGAGGAGGGCCAGCTCTTTCCAAAAGAACCAGCTTCCTGTTTGTTTCTTTCCAGTCTAAATAAACGTCTCTCAAGATAAGATCCCCGTACTCCTCTTTTGTCAACAGATTTCAGTTTGTTGATGTGTCTGGTTGAAACAGGTTAATGGAGAGTTTACGTAACGACGACTAGGGTAAGAAGCCGTTTAAAAAATATGTTAAAGAAGTGTTGATTGCAGCTTTATATGTGATTTTTCACACTTAAATATAAATCAAGTATATCCTCTGAAAATAACTCTGTGAGTCATGACTGTCTACAATGGGTGTAACACCCGAGTCCCACTGTCTGTGATGTTTTCAGAGTTTTCAGAGTCCTATCTTCAGTTTGTTTACATCGCCCGGACGGCCGGCTGACTCCTCCCCTCGTGTATAAAAGTTGTTTAATTGAGGGACTAGAGAAAAGAAGAATAACATACTGTACTCACTGCTTAACTGTGTTTCTAGATCACGCTCATTTCAGGTAAATTTACATGCAGTGTGAAGATACCAGCATAATAAAGATCGCTAGCATTAGCATGCTAACACAACAATGCAGCGCGAGTTGTTTTGGTTTCATGCTGGAGCTCAAGGGCGACATCTGCTGGATCAAAAAATTGCATATAAAGACTTAACTTTAAGGACTTAAGGAATTAACGACTATTTATGGGACAGATAAGACTTTGAGGCCGAGAGTGGAAGTGACTGCACGCTTTTTACTCACTTTGAATCTGTGGTTCTCAACTCGTCTAGCCTCAGGACCCTACATCAAGTCCTTCGGGGAAAATAGTGAGCCAAATTTCGGATGTTTCTCGACCAGATTTCTTCACTGAAAAATGATGCAGTTCGGACCTCAGCTGGTCCAAAAGATGTGACAGAGGCAAGAAACTGAACATAACAAACATGTTTAAAAAGTTTTACTCCAGTCACACATTCACAAGCCACTGAAAATGGCTCCTCGACCCACTTCTGGATCCCGACCCACCAGCTGAGAACCACTCTTGAAAATAATCCAAACTCCGTCTGACTGGAGGTGAGGGTGTCAGGTTTCATTTTACGGCCGTCTGTCGAGGTTTAGTTCTTGTATGAAACGTGTTTTTGCTTCTTCTGTCCACATGTTTTTTCTTGGGTTTCACTCGTATCATGTGTCCAGTCAACCTCTCTACAGAATGAAATCTTTGTCCTTTTCTGGTAAATGTGGTAAAATAATAAAAGTAGGCTGCTCATTGTGAAGACTGGAGGCTTTCAGTGTTGGATTACTGAGCTGCTTCTTTAGAGGATTAAAAAAAACATATTCTGTGAAGCACTCAGTAGAGATGGGACAGATTTGATCTAATGTCGGTATGAGGTACGATATTGACGTCATTTACATATCAGATATCGGACTGACGGTGCCAATCCACGTCCTGGATCAAGACTGATCGCTGGGCACAAGTGTTTTCGGGCTGCAGGAACTTTTTAATAGTTCCAGGAACTGTTTTAGTGCTCCGCCTTTTCATTGTGTTCTAATTTAGTTCCTTGAACCCTGTTCAGAGGAACCTTTTCAGATCTTTGGAGCAGAAAGTCTTCCAGCACAAGAGGGACTTTCAGTGACGTCAGTGCACGGTGATCGGTCGAACACGAGAGCCAATCCAAGACCACCAACCGCCATTTTAAAACCTTGCTGTAGACGTGAGCAAATAGCAGTAAATAAGAGTCTGTAAAAGTCTTAATATCATAGAAAATGGAAAAAGAAACAGACAGGCAATTGCCCCAGCAAAGCTTTTTAACTCAGTTATATTCATAAACCCTAAACACACACAACAAACACACAGTTGTGTAACGTTGCTCTAGAAACCGTCAGCCGGCTTCATCACCATGGTGATGCGAATGCATGGACGGGACGGCCGGCTCCTCCCCTTGTGTATAAAAGCTGTTTTAGTCAAGAACTAGAGAGAAGAAGAAGAACATACTCACTGATTATTTGGATGTTAGTAAGAGTTTTTAGATCACGCTCATTCTGTGTCAGTTTACATGAAATGTGAAGCTACGAGCTAACTAAAGAGTGCTAACATTAGCATGCTAACACAACAATGTGAAGCTACGAGCTAACTACAGAGCGCTAACATTAGCATGCTAACACAACAATGTGAAGCTACAAGCTAACTAAAGAGCGCTAACATTAGCATGCTAACACAACAATGTGAAGCTACGAGCTAACTACAGAGCGCTAACATTAGCATGCTAACACAACAATGTGAAGCTACGAGCTAACTACAGAGCGCTAACATTAGCATGCTAACACAACAATGCAGGACACGGGAAATCGCAGCTCGAGCAAAAGATGACTTTTGCCTCCCGATCGTATTTTTCAATCAATTTATCAACATTACGTCATAAATGGGTTGGGGCGGGGAGCTGTTGTGTTTCAGCCAATGACAGCGTGCAGGTGACTTTAGGAGCAGTTTCAATTAAGCGATTGGACGCGATGCATTCTGAAGATATAAAGAACATGGACGTAGCCCGGAGAAGAGAAAATATGAGGCAAAATGCAGAGCGGATAAAGCTCGTTCTGAAACGAGGGTGAACCTTGTGTTGGCTTTCCCCCGTGGACGTGGAGTTGGTCTACTTCCTGTTGGACAGGCAGGTGATGAAAACCGGCGGTTAGCTTGTGCTAGCGTGCGTTAGCTTGCAGTGAAGGTACATGCAGTAAACATACACACTACGTCCTGCAGCTTCTGGGGGAGAGGACCAGTTTGAATGTTGTGTTTACATTTCTACTGACGCCACCTTTAATTGTGTTTTTGGATATTGGTTGTGTTTCCAAATTGGTTTTTAGTTGTTGGAAGCAAATTGCATTATTTACGTATATTATGGGCTGTACATTACGACACACAGAGTGATGACCTCTCGGGCCTCTCTTCTCTATCTCTCTATATCAGATGCTGATTAAGGAGGAGCCGTGGGAGGTGACATTAAAGTGAATATTTCCTTCTGAAAGAACGATGAGAGAAAGAGGAGGGTGGAGAACGATGGAGAGATAAACACACACACACACACACACACACACACACACATGGGTAGCTCCTCTTTCCGCTCTGAATATGATTTTGCTGTTTCACGGTGAAGGAGGTCACAGCGCGGGGAGACGGCCCAGTTCTTTTTCTGTATAGGACAAAAGAGACGGGCATTTCCTCCCTCCCACCTGCGAAGTCCTCGTCTTTTGTCTGCAGGGTCAGCAGGTGAGACGCAGCCCTGAAAGACGTTTTGTTGTGAGCGAGGTTTATAAGTTAATCAAAGCCGCCTCCGTCCTGCTCATCTTCCCACAAATCTTCTCCGGATGATGCTGCGCGGCTCGGACGGAGCGGTAAGTCTTTTCAAACACAACTCTGAGATTTTGTGATTTTGAAGTCTATGAGACGTTCAGGGTGGCTGGGAGATTAGGTTTGACTAGTTTATAGACTTTCTGCAAAGTAGAATCCATAAGAGACAATTGAGTCACAGACAATTCTTAATTTTTTTTACTTTATTGAAATCTGAAACTTTTCTTTTGGAGTGTTATTAGTGGACTGTCATGAGTCTCTTAAAGCCAAATCAGTTTCCTGAATCACTAGAGTAAGTGCAGGAAGATGCATTTAAGGACACATCAGTCCTGAAGGAACGATAAGGACTTACTGTGCTATGTCACCACTGACAGAAAACATCACTTTAGAACAATCTATGAAGTTAGTACCTGTATTTGTATGAAGCAAGCTGCACTTAGATTTATTGTAATCTGTGTTTGGTGAGTGTTGGGTCATCCAGAGGAGTTTTCATACATTCAATTTAAGCTTTTACTTGATAAACAGGGAGTATCTTTATGCTTAATGAGTAAAACAGATTAAGTACAGTAAAATCCGTACCATAAGTGTATTTAAAACAGTCTGTTTTTTGGGGTCTCAAGGTTTAACTTGTCTTCCCTGCAGGGAGATTTCCATTTCACCATCGTGTTCATCAAAGTCTACAACGTGCAGTTTCTGGTGTTGTAGCACTCAAAATCAGTCTTGGTCTTTTGAAGGTCTTGGCCTCGTTTCAGAATCGAAAGCATTTTTATTTTTTTTTCATCTCAGACTGGGCGGAATCCAGATTTTAAATCCAGACCGGTCAAGATCCCCACAGATCGGGTATTTTTCCACGTCATCACTGAGAATAGAATGAAAATGCCTCTTTCTAAAAAAAACGAATAACTTCAATTCATTTGTAGTTTGATTTTTTAATCCCCCCGGTTACGACCACAACCTTCCCGATGTTACAGTCTAAGTGAGTGAAACGCCCCCTAAACACAAGCTGATGATTTTTCAGTGATATTTATGGTCTTGGTTTTGGTCTTGATCCCTAAATGTCACGGCCTCGGAGCACTCTGGTCTCGGGTATGTCCCGGTCTCTGTTAGTTTGTTCATAACTACAACACTACTTCTGAACACTCAAAGCACTTTTACACCGCTGGTCACACCTACACATTCACACACCGCTGACGAAGCAGACGGAGGGTTAAGACAACTTGGGGTTAAGTGTCTTGCCTGAAGACACATCGGACATGTGGCTGCAGGAGCTGAGGCTCAAACCCCTCGAATGGAGGCGTCTGGTTGCGTGTGGTGGGTGATGGTTGCAGCTGAACTCGCTGTCATGACGGTGCGTCTCCGTGAAGCAGCTTTACATACAGTAGAATATAGCTCCATGAAAAAACAATCTCTCAGAAATCATACCGTTAAACTGGTCGCACCGGTAAATAGAGAGTAATAAATCACATAACAGGCTTCTATGTTTATGTTTTCTTTATGTGCTTTGAGAAATTCAGAGATGTCGACGATGCAGATCCGTCTCAGTTGATAATCTCACAATTCTTCCGATAGATGTTGCTGAGGCTGCAGGGACTCCTCGTCCTCTCCTCCCTCTGCTCAGCGATGCTGGTTACAGACCCCAGCTATGACCCGGGGTCTGGAATTCCGTTAACAGAGGAGGAGATCGAAGAGATGGGGTCCGACTTTGATCCTTCCTCTCGCATGATGGGGGACACAGATAACAACATGACGTACGGCCCCGGCCGGATGTTTCATGATATGGACCCAAATTCCCACCCCAGCAGATCAGATATGTGTGACATGATAATGAATATGCCGGTGCCCCCGCCAATCGACCAGATCCCTTTATTCTGCCTCTGTTCGCACTGTAAGGGCACCATGGGGCCAAAAGGGGACACAGGCGACCGAGGCCCCCCAGGTATGGAAACAACCTGAATACTCCTTTCTGATAATAGAATGTGAAATCTGTACCTAATTTACACAATAACAGTTTTTGTTCTTCATCATAAATAGATAAATAAATCGTTGTGTTTTCTTACATCCTTATTAGCACAAAAACCCTAAAAACCAACATTTATCTTTAAGAAACTTTAAGAAAAGTCTCCAGGTCTTGGGTGTGGACCCTCACAGGAGGCCTTGTTGTGTTGACAGATCTCTCAATTTCTCCCACACCATAAACACAGGCATGCTAATTCACTCCTGAACTGGATGAAGGTACTAGCACTACAAATCAAGATCCTCCCTAAAATATGTCTGCCAACGTCTTCTGAATAATTAAAGGAGGAATATGTAACTGACACCTAGTGTTTAAAATGGGTACTGCAGTCTAAATTGAGCGCATTGTAAAGAGCTGTCTCCCCCCCCCCCTCCTCTCTAGAGTCGATGCTCACTCAGGTTTTTTCAAAAGCATCTCCAATATTGATCCTAGTTTGAGCACGTTTCTGCTCGTGGAGCTTATTAGAAACATGCAGAGGCTTTTTAGGTCGGGTACAATCACTTCTATCTGAACCACTTCTCTTGCCCGCTTCCATCACTGCAACACCTGTTGACCTGATAACTGCTCTCATAACTGACAAACAGAGGGGCATCCAAAACGGCCGTGTTTTGGGGGGTGTCAAATCCAGAGCATTCAGGAGCAGAATCTAAAGTTAGAAGGAGGACATACTGGCTGCTGCATTGTTGTCAGAGAAGCCAGCACTTCAACATAGCATGTTTCCTTAATGATCAGATAGTAAGATACCTTTATCATCTCACTCACTACACATCTCACTGATTGGACCTTTAACCCGAGGTTTACTGCAGAGGATGCAAACTTTGTATAGATAAAATGTACTTGGCCGATGAAGTATTTTTTTTGTAAATACTGAACAAACTGTTCAAATCTCTGCTCAGGTCAACCTGGGAGTCCTGGGATGAGAGGACTGATGGGTTTCAAGGGTCGTCCAGGATACACAGGCACTCAGGGGATGAAGGGTAAGTTGCATTCAAAGACCTCGCTTAAACCAAAAGGGTGATGTAATCAAACATAAGACAGCCAAAGCAGTGCTGTTGCAGATTTGTTCCATACACCTTCATGCTAGCTAAGCCTTTACACAGTCTCTGACAGAGAACAAGTAGAAGTTGGTGGAATTTGGAGGGAAAATGCTAGCTCTATAATAACAGAGTCATTTTTATCTCCTCTTTCCGTGGGCGGCTGCTCCGAGCACTTTTCAGAAAGGCACTGTACTGTAGACATCCCCGGCGCTCTTTTCCCGAATCCATGGATCTATGGATCGTGTCTTGTAACCGCATACTCTTTGCTCCGTGTCTGATCAGAAAAATAAACGATGGACGATGATAAACCTGCAGTAAAAAGTAACGGAGCAGTGTCTGTCATAGAGGGGACGTTGTCAACAGACTGTTGTCATGGAGACAGGATGGACGTGCAGCCCGTTTCTTCTTAGCGCACAAACGCTTCATGCAAGAGATCCCGAGCGCACAGCCAGCCATAGGCGGTTCTAGGCAGGGACCAACAGGGGCCAGTGCCCCTGTAACACTGAGCTTGGTCCCCCCTGTGGTCACCCCTCCAAAAGAAGGGGGCCCCCCTAATAACACATACTGAAACAAATATGAATCATGGTATTTTATGTTGTGGTATTTCACATATTATTTGGCATAATATATATTTATTTTTAAAGCGATCATCTTTGTGTATTTTTCACCTGGGTTTAATGTTCCCCTCTGACAAAACAACTGGCCCCAGTTTGGCCCCCTCAGCAAAAGTGGTCTAGAACCGCCACTGCAGCCAGCACTTTTCTTCCCTGAAAAAAGCGCTAGTTAGACACGGGCCGTTACTAAACACATGAACATGAGCTCCTCAGGCGGATTTCATGAACCAAGAAGAAATGACAGGCTTTATCTTGCAGGCCAATTGAAAGGTAGATATTCTCCACGCTTTCGTTCTGAACACATGGAAACTTCGCAAGTAAGTATTGTAGCTCATGGAAAAGGAAGTCTTGGCTGGAAGTCAAGACCTGAATGTTGGCCATCGTTCTCTTAGAGTTAAATATGGTCGTCAGGGGTAGCTTATGGGTTTCCAGTTTTGAGTTAGTGTACGTTGGTTAAGTTGTCTTGCTTATCTTCTTTTTCTTTTTACTAATTTCCATCTTGTTGGTCTCTACAGGTCAGAAAGGCGACTATGGGATGAAAGGGTCCCCCGGCGCTACGGGCTTATCCGGGATGAAGGGCAGCCGAGGCTTCAAAGGTTCTGTCACATAACTCTTCAGATAAATCCATGAATCATTCAGGGTTGTTTGAGGGAGTTTAAGCAAAAAATATTGTTGGTCAGTTTACCTACCAATGTTTTTAACGTCTTCCAGATTTTGTACAATTCAGAGAAATTGTTGGGTTTGGCTAAAAATGACGGCTTGTTTATGTTTAAAACCCCTGGAAACCTGACTTCAAATATTAAAAATCTGTAAGCGATATCAAAGTTTAATGTATCGTTCAGCATCTACAAAATTTGAGTAAAAATAAAAATTCATAACTATTAGAAAAACCTTTTTCAAAATCCGCCTATTTTGCAGCTCAGGTCACAGTAGTTTTGTTGCACCTGAAGTTTATTGCGCAGAAATGTTGCCACTCAACACCCAACGTCTTAACAAAAGGTCAAATCGGGACAAAATCGGTAGTGGGCTGGGTAAACAGAGACGTGGATGTTAACAACACTAGCTCGGTTATCTTCTGTCACAGCAAAAACAGTTCCTTTATTTCAAGTTTTTTGTGGCTGAAACGTAAAGATACAGAGCTTTTATTTTGAAGTTGCAACGTTCATTCTTCCTGTTTCCTGCTCCAAAAATAAAAAAAACTGTAAATATTGTTACTGTGTCGATGTTTACGAAATATTTATAAATATAAGAATCATTTTGTTTGTCAAAGCTTAACCTTAAATCCTCCTGAATTTAACAAAATAAAAGTCTTTATTTACTGTGAAGAGAATCTGAAAAACAGTTGGGAGGTAACTTCTACTACTTTTAATAGAGTTGATATTATGTACAAAAGATCATTAATAACATAACATAGTTAAAAGCTTTTTGTGGATTTTGTGGGTTTCCAGGGGCTTTGAGAAATGGTCATGGTCGTTGTTTCTATCAGTCCTGGTGTAATCCAGCTGTAGTCTTTAGAGAATCATGATCAGGGCAGCCTGATCAAAGGGAATTCCAGTAATCCATTAATACATGACACTTGATTTTAAGTAAAATTGTAATAATATTTTTCATGCGTCTGTGTCTACAGGAGAAAAAGGGGACCCTGGAATGGAAGGGCCCGCAGGTCAACAGGGCCCCCAAGGAGAAACTGGCACATGTCCTGCTTCCTGTGAGACTATTCAAGGTCCAGAAGGCCAACAAGGCCCCCCTGGGCCAGTAGGAGCTCGAGGTCTGGCTGGGCTAAAGGGATCTGTAGGACCCAAAGGTGCAATGGGTAATAAGGGGGACATGGGAACACCTGGTGACCCTGGGCTAAATGGCCATAAGGGTGATCAAGGTGAGCAGGGGGTGTGTAATTGCACAGATGGAGAACATGGCTCTGATGGGAGCCCAGGAGAAATGGGGCCTAAAGGAGAGAAAGGTGACACTGGTGCCCGGGGTGTAGAGGGTCCCATTGGGCCTAAAGGCGATGAAGGCATGATGGGTCACATGGGCCCACCAGGGCCCTGCTCCCCGACCATCCGGTCAGCATTCTCTGCAAGTATCAATGAGTCGTTTCCTAAGCAAAATGAACCTGTTCCATTTCCAGATGTCTTCTACAACCTCCAGGGGAACTTTGACCCTATCATGGGGATTTACACGGCCCCCATCAATGGCACGTATGTCTTCAGCTTCAACCTAGCAGTTTACCAAAGACCTCTTAGGGTTGGCCTTTTCCACAACTTCTACCCAGTGGTCAAAAGCACAGACTCAGCTCAACAGTCCACTGTAAGTCAAACCATAGTCCTTCACCTGACCAGTATGGACAAGGTGTGGCTGCAGGTTAAGGACGGCACCACTAACGGCATGTACAGTAGCTATGAGAGTAGCAGCACGTTCTCTGGGTATTTGCTGTACCCAGATTCCTGTGGAATGCCTATGTTAAGGGATCTTGGGGAATCAAACAAAGGTGAAAAGGGTGTCTACAGCTGGAACGGTCCCTAAATCACATTCCTTAAACCATAGTGGGTTCCAGTCAGCCAAGCAGTTATAGATTAAGCTTCAGCACATCCTGAATCAAACAATCAGTGCATAAATATCTGCAGGTCCCAAGGGAAAGGTATTCTAGAAAAGCTCTCCACAAGTCCTGTAGCTGGTACTGCCCACTGTTTGTTTCAAATAGTAATTTTATTTTTCTAGCCTGTTCTTCCCCTGAATGTGACGTCCCATAGAAAGCAAGAGAGAAAATTCAATATTCTAATCTCCGCCAATTCATGGACTAAATCTGGGTATTTTTTTCAGATGTGGATGAGGGTATTTGAGACTGGTAGGAAGGAAGGAGGAGGGGTCAGCTGAAATGATGGCCTAATTTTGTGAACACATAAATGTTGTCCTTATTATAGGACCAGTTTTAATTGCAACACCAAGATCCACTTGATGACTTGAATTAAGTTTTCCACCAGTACTAAAACCACTAGACGAGTACTGGATGGCCGGAGGACCTGTAAAGGGATTATTTATAGTCGATGTAATTGCGCCGTTTGGGATGAACAACCAGGTGAAATTACTTGATGCAGAGTTGCAAAAGCCTTTAAAATATTTCCTGATGCTTTGAGCCACATCAGAAATAGACAAACCAATTTCCAATGAAAAAAAAAGCACTTTTCTTCTCAGCGCTCATGCAAGCATTCCCAAGCGCACAGCCCAGAAAAAGCGCGAGGTGGACGCAGGGCCTAAGGGTGAGGTCAGGTTTTGAGACAAGCCCACGGTGGGTTTCTTCCTCCCCTGCACATGTGATTCATTTTGTATTCACCTTTTTTTCTCTGTCTGTCTTTCCTTCCAAAAATGTGCAAATAAACTTAAACTAAGTAAGAAATGTAATTCGTCCATTAATTTTAGTAACCAGACATACCTGCACAACTCATCCAATGATGTCAAACTTCAGCTGTACTCCGTGCTGTGCCCATTGTTTAAGACTTTCAAACATCCCCCAGTAAATCTGACATTTTCAAGTCTTTTCACCGTAAAAAAAACGCCCCGGTGCACCTTCTCCATTGAAAAGACGTTCAAAGGACGGCTCCATCCACCATTGAAAATATGTTTTCTGTTTTTAATCCCATCTTTTTTTAGTAGAGTTTGCATGTTCTTCCCATGCATGTGTTGATGCTCCGGCTTCCTCACACATTCCAAGGACGTCTACTTAAGTTTAATTGCCGACACTTAATTCCCTGAAGGTGTGACTGTGAGCGCTACTGGTTGTTTAACAGCCCTGTGGTTCAATCACTCAATCATTATTTGTATAGCGCCAATTCATAACAAACGTTATCTTGAGACGCTTTACAAAAAGACCTTACTCATTATTAAGAAAATGGGAGACAGGGAATTGGGATAAGATGCAGGAAGGATTTCTCCTTTCTATTCCTCGCCTTCCTGTTGTCTACACTTCCTTCCCGCTGAGGTGGAGGTCGGAGCAGGCCGTGCATGAAAGAGGACAGTGGTGGTTGAGGGACGACGCAGTCTGGGACGTTGGGTGGTAGTAGTGCCAGATCACCTCGCTGAATGTTGGGGGAGCTCCGACTACTCGAGAGCCCAGCTTCTGCTGCCGGGACAAGACCTCCTTGGCTTCTAAAGCGTTGGTTGACTTGCGACCTCTCATGGGAATTACCCTTCAGCTGGGGTTGGCTCCAGCGTGCTGCATCCCCCAAGGAGAGATGAAGAAGTGATAATGGATGTATGGATGGAGAACCGTACGAGGGAGCATATTTTTCTCAGTTTGAAATTAAATCATTTTATGAAAGATTGCAGATACTGAGGAAGACGTAAAGGGAAGATTTTATTTTAAGTTTGTCAAGAATGTTGTTCAAGATTTATTTGTTTAGAATTATTGATACTGTTGATTTAAAATGTAAAGAAGCTTATAGTCATGAGAATGGACAATAAAGTTTAAAGAAGAGTGAAACATTCTCATCGTCAAGCCCTCACTGAGTGATTTCTGCTTCACCTTTTTGTGTCTAATCTGCTCATGTGGCTGCTGTGATCCGTGCATTGAGATTTCTGTCTGAAATTAAAGAAATAATATTTCTCTAAACGCCTTTGTTCTTCTGTTTCTTCAGCAGTTTACATTACTGCATATCGGTGGAGCAGTGGCTCAATATAAAGGTCCAGTGTTTGAGATAAATGGATCTCTTAGCAGAAATGTTTCCCTATAATAAGTCATATATATATCCACAGAGAGAGTGATTTTATCCATGTTGCTCCGACATGTTACAGTGACCCAGAAAGGACAACAAAGCAGGTTTTGTTGTGCTTTTATTTTGTATTTTTTGTACGGTCTTACACCGTGTCCTAAGTATTGGATGTCGAGTTGAATCATGCATGATCTCACGCTCAGTTGTCCACACTGCATCCGTTAAATTCTTAATTCTCTGCTCTGGGAATCTCAGTTTCCCCATTTTGAAATGTGGTGCTTTTATTTTGAAAGTGGACAAACTGAAGTGTGGTGCTTTGAATTGACGAGCTGTTGAATCAAATCAACAATTTTTCTGCCAATTTTCTGTCAATTTACAGCTGAAGCTTTGACCATAACCTCACCCAGTCCCGCTTATGAGTTAAAGGCAGGGTTGGTAAATTTCAAAAACTAGCATGATTTTGAAAGTAGCATTCCCTCAGTGCTCCGTCTGCACCCACCCCCTCCCCTCTGTGCTCCCTCATAAGCCACGCCCCCTTACTTACATGCACGAGCACAGTTGCTCCAGAAGTGGACCTCAGCTTTTTCAGAGGACATGAGTTCCTAATTTCTGTCAGGACCTAAAGACAATTTCAACCAAACTCTTAAAAAGTGGATCTCGAGTGTCAGGCTGCATTCCCACCTGAGCTGTTTGGTCCGTTTGAAAGGAACTCTGCCACACTTCGGTCTCGGTTCGTAAACGTGATGACATCAGAAAAAAAACGGCTGAAGCGTGAACGGATCAACCAGATTTTATTTCCACATCGTTGAAACACAGAGCGTCACATCTTCTTCAGATACCTTACAGACTTTAGCTTTCGGCATGTTTCTGCAATAACAGTGAACTCTTCAGGAGCTGAAACGCTGAACTGTTATCTAACAAAGCAAACAACTAGCTTCTATATTAAATCACAAAGACTCACTATTTAATCTATTCAAGGACCATATCAGTGGTTACACACGTTTGGGTTGCACAATAATGGAGTTTCATCGTTAGTGTAACGTTTTCATAAACACGTCTGAAAAGTCTGAATGTTTCGCAATAATAAAACGCGCAGTGTGTAGATTCAGCCACCGGGGGGCTCTCACTCAAAACAATGAGAGAAGATGACATTGAGGCTGGCGGGGAATCATGGGAGAGATTCTCTCTGCTGTCCATCCGACTCTGTACAATATCATCCCGATTCAGAAACGATTTCTGATTCGTACTACTCATTTTTAAGTCGGGCAGAATGTCAGCCCCATCCTCTGCGTAGTTAATCGTGCAGTCTACGACGACGGTCCGATCAGCTGCTCCCGACCTGCTGGATGAAGTTTTTCTAAATTTCGGTGGTTTGACTGCACACACTTGCACGGTGAGAGCAGAGCCACGAGTCGACTCTTCGACTTCAGGACTTTTTTTTTCTTCCTAAATTGTGTCTGCAACAAAAAGTGACAGGCAGCATCTGAAATCACCATGGCAACAGCAGGCATGCCCATTTAATCTATCTTCCCCCATCTCTCCGGTCATGAAAGAAACGTTGGCAGGAAATATCTGCAGACCTCGAGCTTACAGAGAATATTTGTTATGATTTAGCTGCTGGTTAGCTTGTGTTTATTTGTGAATACTACGCACAGAGCTGACTTTAACGTCTGTCTGTGGGAGGTATTTTGGGGGACAACTGTGATTGCTCCGTCCTGATTTATCTCGTGAGTTTTTTCCTGTAGACCAAAGTGGAGAAAACTCACGCTGGAAGTGGAACATCTGGAAGCTAACAAGCGTGATCGTTGTTTCAGGAGAAAAGAAAAACAATGATGGGATGATTGTGTTGTTTTCTGCTGGATTGTATTCAAATATTTTGTATCTGAATTGAATCCGGCTTTTTTCTCATTGTGTTTGGAAGCGTTTCTTCCCTACTGCGCTTAAAAACGATAAAGTGTACTCAGTGAAGTGTCAGTGCGAGGTACCAAAACATGCAAAACACCTGAATGGTCCTTTTTAATTTTTTTCTTGCACAAACTCCGAGGCGACTCAAACTTTCAGCTTTCTTGGTTTCTAGCTCTGCACAATCCTCTGCTCTATTTCTCTGCGGGTGCCATGTCGTCGCCGGCCGACGTGTTGCCATCCTCTTCATCGTCGATCATCCCCTTCAGGTAAGAGCGCTTGAACTCCTGGAACTCCATCTCCTCCTCCATCTCACTGCAGACACACGGACAGAGGACAGGGAGGTTAAAGTCTCATCTCATCCTCTTAAAAAGTAGAGCTTCGTCACGTCTGTCCTCAAGAGGAAAAGAAAATAACTTTTTTAAATGTGTTTGTTAAATGGAGATTGGTGGGATTGATGATTGCGGATGCATTCAAGGAAGTCAGGAAATCTGAACACTGACAGGCTCTCAGACACAGGGTCATCAGACTCCTGCAGATATCTGCTTACAGAGAGACATCAATCATCGTCAGATTACCGCTGATGTTTCTACAGTGGATTGTGTTCTGCTTTTGTGTTTCCTGCTTCAGGCCCGCTGATCCCTGATTGGTTAAACAAACTACAAATGGGACTAGAACACCTCCAAACCCCTGAGTCTACATTTGAACATGGAATCTGTGCTTAGAGAGAATATAAGGAGGTTTGAAAAGAGACACACAGGGCATGAAGAGGAGGAGGGTAAATAACAAACAGAGGGAAGCTGACACTGCTTCTGAAGGAGGAGAGCTGATGAAGTGAAAGAAGATCCTGGAACCTGATCCGGTCTCTGGATGTACTGAACAAAAAGGGAGGACAGAAGGAGGACATTGACACCAGATATGGAGGTAAACACCGCCATGTGTGTCCAACGTGCTCGTCTCTCTGCTCACAGTGGAAGCGACAGCAGCTTACTTAAGAGAAGAAAGAAAACCATCTCACCTTTCCTTCACTGTTTGCAGCGTGTAGAGAAAGAAAAAGTGACACACATCAGAAAGTTTAAGAGTCCTGGAATTTCTTTCTCAATCTTTTCAGAGCCCTGACTGCTCATCATGTCATTATACATGCATGTTGATTCTGCATCGGCGTATTATTGGCGTCCCAGTCTGTGAGGTCACATTGTGTTTCGGCATTTGCAGAAGCACGGCACACACACACACACACAGTCAGTCATGCACACGCACACACACATGACGCTGCGCTCCCCCGCTGGCTCAGCTGATCCTGTCTCGTCTCTGTAACGCCTCTCAAGACGGTACAGAGGGGGGAGGGGTCACTTTGTCCCCCCGTTTTGCCCCTCGCAACATTCAGATGTTTCAAGTCGAAATGTCAGGGGCTTGAAACGGCGGTCTGAAGAGGGCTACTGTGTCATTTATTGTTTAAAGAGAGGAAAATATTGTTTCAGACAAATGGCCGCAGAAAGACTTAAAAGACGCTACGGTAGAACACGTGTTCTTCCTTACCTGCGTCAGGTTTAGGATGCATCAGCTTGAAGGGAAGCTCCAGGTCAACCTCACTGCAACACACAAACGTTTGAATCAGTGACATGAATATACCCGATGATGTCACAACCACGAAAACAAACAGAAAACCGCTTTAGAGAGTTTTTACCGTTTAAAATCACTAACTACCAGCATAAGCATTAATGATGAAAAAAGGAGACCCACCTTGAGCCCATCATCCTGTAAGCGTGGCAGAGAAAAGAGGAAAATGACTTTGAATCATTTGAACAGAGATAGCGATCAACGTTAGAAACACGACAGCGAGCGTTTAAAATATAGCATCAGCCAATAGGAGACGAGTTCAACAGAAGGTCGGCAAAGTTTACAAAATGAGATCTGTTATCAATGTCGCTGATCTCGTCAGGGGTCGTGGGGGTACTACAAGACTACAAGATCACAGGAGAACTAGAAGATCACATGAGAACTACAAGATCACAAGAGAACTACAAGATCACATGAGATCTACAAGATCACAGGAGAACTACAAGATCACAGGAGAACTACAAGATCACATGACAAATCCTAAAACTTGAACAAACTCACGTCCATGTAAACACACTCAAACTGTGAAAGTGCTGTTATAGATTGATAACTTTCTTGTAGGCGCGCTTACACACGCACACACGCACGCACACACACACGTACACGCGCACACACACACACACACACACACACACACACACGCACACACACACGCACACGCACACAAACACACACACACACACACACACACACACACACACACACACACACACACTCAGAGGTGACTGACCCTCCGACGATGAGCTTCACCATGATCCTGTATGAAACCATGATCCCCATCACTTCCTTCAGAACGCCGTCCTTCACGCTGAAAGAGAAGAGACAGAATGTTGAACTGTGTGTGTCGGTATCAAACGGCGTCGCCCGCCTCGCTGCGTCTCTCTGACTGTTCCACTCACATCGTCGATGACGCCAGGTTGGTGTCTTCGTGCTTCAGTTTGCCGTCCAGAGCGATGCCACGCCTCTCCCTGTTGTTGGCCAGCAGGGGCAGCAGAGTGTAGACTTTCTGCAGGGTCGCTCCGGGAGGAACCGAATCCCTGTGACACACAGAGACACACAGTTTGACTCAACTCGACTAAACTCCATGATTTAAGATTTAAGATTTGAAGAAGTTTGTTCACTTAAACTTTGCCAGATCAAGGCGAGATAACTTGATCCGGCATTAGCCGCTTGCATGAAGGCTGCATGTAAATCCTGTCTCTATGACAACGTGACTAACACTGCTCCGTTACTGTTCACTTTTTGTTTTATATTTGAGATAGTTTATTTCCCGATCCGACACGGAGCGAGGAGGATGTGGGTACAAGACACGATCAGTAGTCGGCAAAACAACGGGGAATATCAAACATTTAGAAAAGAGCGTCGGTGACATCTACAGCGCCTTTCTGACGAGTTGAAAGATTTTCAACTTGAGCGCTCGGAAAGAATACGCTGGGCGCTACTTTTTCCTGCGGGTCCTTCTGATGCAAACGCTCTCTACTCATTGAAAACAATTGAAAAAAGACGGCAGGGGGATACGGGACCTCACTTGTTGTTTGAATTCAACCGTGCTTTTATTTGGAAATAAAGTAAGACGCTTCTAGTACAGAGGAACGGTAACAAAGTTCAATGTGTGATGTCATAAGGTCAATGTGTGATGTCATCAGGTGGATATTACTGTCTGAAAGTTTGTTAAAGTGAAATGAGACATTCAAAGATGCAGCAGTGTTCTTCTTTTACATCACTGAGGCTACAGGGAGACACTGAGGACCACTATCTACGGAGAGCCTGAAGGGACAAAATAACATGAGATTAATTGTGGTTAACTGGTTAACGCTCAGGTGTGTGTTGTGCTTTACCCAGGCTCCTCAATGGCCACAGCCTTGGTGTAGCTGTCATTGGAGTACAACACCACGTTGGCCACCTGATCCACTGAGAAGACAGAAGAGTCCACATTTAGACATGCCCTGATGTATCTGATGAATGATTATGATCAGTAGATAAAGATGTTTACCAGAGACGATGACGTTCTTGATGTTCTTGCTGGAATTGTTTGTGATGCAGACGTTCACTTTGATCGGTTCGCCGTGGTAGAACAGCTGCAAACGGTGAATAAAAACCGACATGTTATTATTTCATGATTCTTGTGTGTATGGTTTTTAAACTATCATAGCGTTTTAAAGGTCCAATCAGTGAGATGTGTAGAGAGTGAAATGATAGGTATCTTACTATCTGATCAGACATTAAGGAAACATGCTATGTTGAAGTGCTGGCTTCTCTGACAACAATGCAGCAGCCAGTATGTCCTCCTTCTAACTTTAGATTCTGCTCCTGAATGCTCTGGATTTGACACCCCCCAAAACACGGCCGTTTTGGACACCCCTCGGTTTGCCAGATATGAGAGCAGTTATCAGGTCAACAGGTGTTGCAGCGATGGAAGCGGTCAAGAGAAGTGGTTCAGATAGAAGTGATTGTACCCGACCTAAAAAGCCTCTGCATGTTTCTAATAAGCTCCACGAGCAGAAACGTGCTCAAACTAGGATCAATATTGGAGATGCTTTTGAAAAATGGAGAGAGGTTAGAACACAGAAAGGTTTACAGACCCATGCAGAGCTGGATAAACACTGAAGCTTCAGAGTCCACCACATGGTGACCTGCGTGAGCATCAAGTCTAGAGAGGAGGGGGGGGGGGGGGGCAGCTCTCTATGATGTTTAGAATGTAGACTGCAGTACCCATTTTAAACACTAGGGGTCAGAGTTACATACTGCTCCTTTAATGAATCTTCACAGCTTTACCCACGGCTGCTTTTCATATCGCAGAAACAGAACCCAAGGAATAAGGTCGACATCAGAACTGACCTCTTTCTCCAGACTGGCCTTGACATGCAGCTGTTTTTCCGTGGTTTCCTCAGAGGGAGCCACTCCGGCGCTCTCCGGGGCGTATTGGACCTTCCTGAGCAGCAGCTTCACTGAGCTCCTGAAAGCAGAGAAAGATCGTTTCTTTTTTTTTGTTTTTTTACTTTTCTCTTTTAGTTCAACGAGTGAATGAATCTCGACTGAAACTCACCTTCTGTGCACTTTCCCATCCTGGCTCTCAGCGCTGAACGCTTTGATCTCAAACTCCACGGTGCATTGCTAACAAAGTAAAGAGAGAGGGGGCGTCACCATACTCGTAAAAAAACATTTTCCATCAAGCGGTCCGGTCCAGTTCGGCTTACTTCAGTACGCGTTTATTGACATGTCCACTGTCAAGTTTGGAATGGTACCAAAAATAACCGAACCGTCCCGTCCTACTTTTTCACTACCCTTCTATTGGGGTGCTAAGCGTACCAATCCGAACATAAAGGGCGGAGCTAGAAACACTGCAGTTTGTTGATTGGTTCAAAGAATCTTCACTTCCTGTGTGACAGCGATAGTTAAGATCTCGTGGAGAGTAATTTCAAAGCTGTTTTTGTATTTTGTCAGCACGTAGCTCCGCCCCCTGGACGACCTGGCAGGGTCAGACAGCTGCTGGCCGTCCTCAATTGTTGCCCTCTGTTGTGTTTTTCTTCTTCATTGACCTTATTGAGGGGCTACATGATGTCACGCTCTTTCATAGCTGACGCAGCTATCGCTACCCGCCTACCAGGTAAGGTCGTAACGCATTCAACATCCGGATCCAACGTACCAAACCGCACCAAACTGAGCCGATCCGCTTGGTGGAAACGAGTCTTTAGTGATCTGTTCTATTCCAGTTTGGATCTTACCTTGCCAACATCTTGGGGTGATGGCTGAAGGGCCACCGAGCAGGGCAGGTTATCAGGAAACTGAGGAGAAAAACAAAACATCAGTCAGCCTGAAGCCGACTTCCATCTTACCTTCACAAAGACCAAATACAGAAAACAAAAATACAGGGAACAATGTGACCACCAATCTCCATCTGTAGTGTAGGTTACAGGGACATTTTAGTCTCTTTAAACTCTGTCCCTTTTGTATTTTATAATATTTTCGAGTATTTAACCGCTCCTTCTTTCTCATGAGCTGTTTTCTTCTTCTCTTTTTCTTTTTTATTCTTTTGGCCTCAGGAAACCAGCTGACATGAAATGTGCCGGGCCCTCTTTCTGTGGGCTGAGGTAACTGGATTTGATCACTCTGCTGATATTAGCCATGTATTCATCCCGTGTTAGAGCCTGAAGGCATGTCGTACCTCAAAAAAGAAAGGGTAGGCGTTGTGTCCCAGCTTGCGCAGCAGTTTGGCCTGCGTCTTCGTGTGGACTCCTTTCTCTGGGTCCTGCAGAGGCGGGTACACCTGGCGGGTCGACAGGTACAGCTCGCGGCGGAAAGCAATCCCCATCACGTCCATGTCGTCTCTGCCGTAGCGAAAGGTGCAGGACAGGGTGACGAACACTGAGGAGCAGAGACACAGATCACAGAACTGAACACAGAAACCAACTGGAATCATTTCAATGTCACAAAGTCTTAAAGGAGCAGTGTGTAACTCTAACACCAAGTGTTCAAAATGGGTACTGCAGTCCAAATTCTAAACATTGTAGAGAGCTGTCTCTACCTGACCTGATAACTGCTCTCATATCTGGCAAATCGAGGGGCGTCCAAAACGGCAGTGTGGGGGGTGTCTTAAAAGCGCCTACCTTCTCTGGTCCAAACAAATCCAGAGCATTCAGGAGCAGAATCTAAAGTTAGAAGGAGGACATACTGGCTGCTGCATTGTTGTCAGTGAAGCCAGCACTTCAACATAGCATGTTTCCTTAATGTCTGATCAGATAGTAAGATACCTTTATCATTTCACACTCTACACCTCTCACTGATTGGACATCAGGATGAACAACACTGGTGTAAACACACAGGCGAACTGAGGAGGTTTCAGAAACTTAAAATAAATCAAGTCCATAAAGAAGAATCTATAAAAGACGAGCGAGAGACGTGCTGTGTGCTGAGTGTGTTCACGTGTGTTTGAATACTAACCTTTCCTCCCCTGCAGAGCCTCGGGGTCAATGATGATGACGCCATCTGGTGGTGAGATAAGAAGGTGAACGTTTTTGTGATTAATGATTAGAAAAAAACAACTGAAACATAATCATTGATGGATCAAAGCGTGTCCTATAAAAGTTGTTGTTTTGGTCCCCAACAGGCTCAGAGTGTTTTTCTAAAAGTGTGACAACATTTAAAGACAAAGTATCAAAAACTGTTTTGATACCATGGCAACAGAAGCAGAAGTCCTGGGCACCATGATGGAGGCATTTATTGTCTTTCATTAACAAACACCGCAGGCAAACTCCTGCACACGGTCTGAACTCCACAAATACATCAGTACCAAAATGAAATTGAAACAGGGTCTGCATCTCTTTCACAACTGAGCCAAACAGCAGGCCGGACGAAGTCGGCCGAAGATCGACTCCTGAAGTGTTTTGTTTTTTCTAAGTTCGGTACTTTTCAATACTATTAACTAGAGGTTGGGGGAAAATGTAAAAGTCGAGATTCTTATTTTCTGAGATTTTAAATAGATTCACAACTTTCAAAAAACGATTTTCTTTTTGTGGCTAATCAGTCCCTCCCTGCTAAGTGCTAATGCTAGCTCTTTAACTCGGTAGAACGCCAAATGGAGCAGCAAGACCTTCAGCCCGTCACACAGAGGACTGGAGTAGATCCTGGAGTATGTACTGTTTTCAATACCAAACCAACGTAGTTTTAACAAACGGCGTTGTCGCGGTTACTGTCCTTGGGGTCAGCTGTTTTTTTTATCACTGAGCTCACAAGCGCCTTTAGTTGAAAGAAGTTAAACTTTTAGAACAGCGTCTGCGCTCGTCAATGTGACATCTCTCTCAACGACAAATCAAAATCAAGAAGGGGCGGGACTTCTAGCATCAGCTTTGTCAACAGCAATGGCGGAGGAGACGCCCGTCAGGACTCCCTTTCCATCGTCTTCATGTTCTCTCTGTGATGTGTCACTCACAGAGCTTTCTACCACACACCTAACGGACGTTACCGAGGGAAGCAGACGTTACACTTTCGTAACCTAGCAACAATGAGCGCTGCTGAGAAGAGCCCTGAAAAAGGAGGTTTCGGGCACTGCCTGTCTGTGGACACTCGCCCCTCATCTCTGTTTTGGTCTTGTGTTCTTTTGTGTGATTGTGGGGTTTTTTTTGCCTTTGAACCCTTAAAAGACGATGTCCATGATAAAGAAACAGCATCACTCACCTACTGGATCCACAGAGTCCACATGGTCCACAAAGTCTCTCCTCCCCATGTAGACTCCGACCTAAAGCAGAGCAGAGATCTTTACAAATCTGACATCGACCCACATGCAGCTGTTGCTCAAACACATGGATCAGTTTGTGTCACGTTGTCATGACTTTGTGAGGATCAGTGAGCGTGAACACTTTACAGAATTAAATCCAGCGAGGTGGAAGGTTTTATTTAATGACCACGGATCTCTCTGTGTTCTCTGACACGACGCTGACCTCAAATCCTTATTGATTTAATCAACTGCTGGTAAATCGAGTCGACTTCTCAGGGCTGAAACATTTACTGAGGTGATCGTCTGTACCTGAGCCAGCATGTGAGGCTGTATCAGAGGAGTTTCCAACACTGTGATTGGTATTGAAACATGGCTGAAAACAACAAGACGTTTCCTATTTTACACTTTAATGGGAAGTTCATGACCCTCTGAGATTCTGCACACTGGAGGATACGACTGAAACCTGTTTACTGAGCAAAGACGGGTCATTTAAAGGTCACATATTCTGTAAAATCCACTTCTCCATGTTCCTCTAACTCTAACATGTGTCTCTAGTCTGTCTACAAACCCCCCAATGATGAGAAAAGTCCATCCTCTCCGTCTTTTGCCTGCTCCACTTTTCAGAAAATGTGTGCTCAAACAGGCTGTTTGGAGATTTTCCCTTCATGACATCACAAAGGGCAGTAGCCCCTCCCCCAGGTGGGTGACACTCCCAAAGCTAGGTGTTTGTTCTACCCTCTGAGTCTGCCTTCTCACCGTAAACAATAGGACATGGAGCGAGAAAGACAGAGTACACCCAAGCGCTTCAAGAGAGGGGGCGTGGTCAGACACAGCTCATTTACATATTTAAAGGTACAGACACAGAAACAGCCTGTTCTGAGCAGGGCTGAAATAAAGGGGTTTATAGACATGATCAAATACAGGATCAGAGTGGATTTAGAACAAGAAACTTCACACACATGTTGAAGAGGAGCTCTGAGACTTATTTACACTGATTGAAGAGGAGGAGGATATGTCACCTTTAATACCCTTAATCTCTCTGAGCTATAGTGGACGAGGTACTTAAAGGTGTAAATATGTTGTCTTCTTCTGAAACTGTAAATAAAAACATGTGATTAATAACCAAGCCACAGCGCCCTCTGCAGGACAAACTATGTAACAGCTCCATTTCTCTGAATGATTCCACATAACAGACACACTTTTTTAAGTCCCTTTATGGACGACGCATCCCCAACCCATAACTGCTGAACACAGAAAAAGCCAAAATGTCTCGAGACTGAACGATTTTTCACACATCTTAATGCATCACATTTGAACTAATCATAATATTTAATCTGGCATGTTTCACTCACCGACTTGTCTTTGCAGATCTTCTTGAAAACAACATTTTTTGGGCTCATGTTGGTGCAGATCGAGCGCAGCGACTCGCCGACGCCTGAGAGAAACAAAAGAGACACAGAAACATCTTCAAACACAGAAACTGACTCTGACTATGCAGGGTCTAGATTTAGCTCGGTTGTGTGAAATGATTTCATGGTTTAGTCCAGAACGACCTGACTGTGACTAAGAGAAACACTTTGAGTCATCTAGGACAGGGGTCCAAAACCAGCGGGGACTTAGACTGGGTCATTTCTAACCGGGCTGCAAACACCCAGTCGGGGTCAATAATACGCACAGATACCCAGACAATAAATGACAGTACCTTCTGATATTTGTTCAATAATAACGGAAGTGCATTACTTCTGTTGCACCTGTCACAGTTTGACTGTTTGACTACTAAAGACATCGTCCCTTGGAAAAGAAAAATACTGTTTTTTTTACAAAACAGGTTGCTCGAATTAATCAGACTATCCCCAACTTTTCATTAAAAAGTTGCTTTTATTATTTTTTTAAAATCATTGTTAT